AAAAAAAAAAACTGAAAGTTCAAATAACAAAAGCCTGTAGCTAAGAACAGCTGCTTAACCACAAACAATTTACACTACATGAGTCTTGAATAAGAATAAGAATAACATACCTACATCAACCAACTTTTATAAATACTTTATATAAAGGGAACGAAATACATATTATGAAAGTGATCCTTCTCTCCATATGCCATCATTACATGTTTCAAAATAATACGTAGTTGAATGAAGCTAAGAGCTATAGTTTCAATTGGAAACATAAAATTCATGAAAGTTGTTGAATAGGCTATAATAGAGAAGGATGACTACAACCAACCACAGTGCTAATGTCCTAATAAACTGTATAGATTAGTTCCTTCGGAGGATCTCTGAGTTATTATACGATTCTGAAGGAAAGTTTCAAGTGAGCACCAGAAAATACGTGGATAGAAGGGAAATACACTACTCAATTATCTGCACTGGCTTATCCTAAAAAACATAGACATTTGAAAAAAAAAAAAGGGATAAATCATGAAACCACCGTACGGCATGCATCACATGCGCAAGCTGCACAGCACGACGCAAGGCAAGAAGCTGCCCACATCCTTTTTCCTCACACGGCCACCAGTTTAAAGCTTATCTGCCAAGGAGCCAAACCCAAGTCATTGCCATTGGAAATCAAATGAAACACTCTCAACAATCTTATCAGTAAAACAAGAAATATAAGCCCTCGACTAGACGATCAACTTATAACTCAATGGAAAGTGGACATCAAGAAAACCTAATTCTCCAAAACTCAACAACTACGTAGCTCCATAAAGTGATCAGCTTGATCGTATTAAATAAACACAAACAATTCTGAAAATCCAATAAAAAATCCACTGATTAACCAAAACTGACATCATTTTATTCAATTGTGTCGTGATCATGATAACCCTAAAGGGTTTTCTTCGCTGGGATAAGTAATACGGAATGAAGAACAAAATTCTTCAGCAAAGTAGAGGAAAAATCTGAGCAAATTGATCACATAATTACCTCGGAAGAGATTGGAATAAGAAAATGAACAAGCACAAGCAACCCGAATAATCGTGTGAGGGATCAAGATTCGAGACTGACTTCGGTTTGTAGATAATCGTTGGTATCCTTTTCCTCTTTTCGTTCCAACTTCCAATGGGCTCCAAAGCCGCTATTATCCTAGTTTCGTCACTCGACCGGGTTCGCATCAGAACCGATAACTCGATCGGTCTGTTTATTTAATTCATTGTTCGGCTAAATTATTATTATTATTTTGTATACTAAATTACAATTTGAGAGAGTTCTGCTAAAAAGTTCGTAATATATTTTTTTTTCTTTTGAAGATACGAGTTCTTAATTTTTTATTAAAACAAAATCTTAATTACATTAATTTTAAAAATATCTAATAAATTGATCAACTTTCCATTTTTGCTAGTATAACAAGTAAGCGTGAAAATTTGAACTCAGAGATATAAGTGTCTTAATTAGCTGAGCTATACTAAAGTTTGTTCCATTAACTTTCATATTAAATATGTGTCTGATAGATTATTGTCATATTCTGCCACTTTTAAAAATTAATGAACCTATAAAATAATAAATAAAAAAGTGTTAGGTTTCTATTGGATGGAAGTTTATATAACAGGTCTATAAAACTTTTAAAATGTTAAATAGGTTATAAATCCATGAGATACAAAAACAAAAACGTTAAAATACTATTTTAGTTATTGTACTTTGAGTATTTGTTCATTTTATAATTTGAAAATATTCATTATGGTCTTTGTACTTTTAATTTTCGTTCATTTACACTTTTAAAAAGGGATCATTTTAGTCCCTTTTTACAATTTTGTAACACAATTTTTCTACCTAACGAAAACTCTTCGGTATAAAGTAATATTTACATTTTTAAGAAATATATTGATTTTAATGTCGTAATGAAATTGCAATAGAAAAAATGAGATTAAAAATAAAACCAAATGACCAAAATGATCACTTTTTAATGTACGAACAAAAAATGAACATTTTGAAAATATAGAGACTAAATTGAACTAAAGTTAAAAGTACAGTATCAAAACAATTATGCCAAAACGAGCATAGCTCAACAATAATTGACATAAATTGAAGTTTAGAGATCTATTATATACTATTGGGCATATATTTTTTCCAGTTCAAAGGAATCGCATTTTGACACGATTTTAAGTATTTTGTCTACCAATCGAAATTGAATATGCCGAAAATCATTTCATAGCCAAATAAAAAAAGAAAATGATCTCAGACTATGGTTGTTTGTATAATAAAGTTGTGATGTATTTTTCCAATTTCTTTTATTACAATCTATGGGGTGGGAATATATTTTTTTTAATTAAATAATACTTTGGCATGACTTTTAAATTGGAAATACATGCCTTTAACTAATTTGCTACTTTCAATTTTACAATATAAGGAAGTAAAATTTAGAGCTAGAATTAGGGTTTGGGACATGATTGTTGAATTTACCTTAGAAAGAAGAAGTATTACTGATCCGTGCCCCACGTGGCAAGCGAACACAGGAACAGAATATCGAAACTCAAGTTGTTTATTCACCGTCGATTGGATGGCAACGTCCCCAGGCCCCATCGAAGAGCCACCAATTGAAGGGTCGGTTTACGCCCACCCATGACCCACCCGCCTGCTTTCTCTCTATCTATATTATTCCCACGCTTTCCCTCTCCTTCCCTCTCTCTCTCTCTCTACAAAGTTTTCCAACCGTGGAGGCCGCGTGGATTGCCTCCGGGGCATCGTTTTCCCCGGAACCGAGGCGTGTCGGGACATTCACCTCCTTCTGTTTAATTCATCCGATTCTTGTTTTGGGTATCTGGTTTTGATTTTGTGAGTCTCTCTCTCTCTCTCTCTCTCTCTTTATTTCTGATCTGATGTTTCTGAATTCTCAATGTTGTGTTTCACTGGAAATTTTCTTGATATGGGTTCTTGGCGGATTTTGGTTGTGTAATTTAAGTTGTTTTGATGGAATTCATTGGGAATTTGGGCTGGTTTTAGATCGGAGCTGTGTGCTTTCTCGCCTCCTATTGAAGGTGTTGATTGTAGTTTTAGGTATAATAGTTAATATACCTCGATCTGCCTTTGATTGTAAATTCGGAATTTGATCTTCTGAGGCCGTGCATCTCATGAGTTTCTTTTTGTAATTCATCTGTGGATTATACTCTTCCATGTGATATTGATGTTTATGGGAAAGCAAATGTTGTTCTTCTCTACAATGCATGGAAAGTAATTGCTTGATGAGCTATTTTTCTTTCTACAATACATGGAAAGTCGTGTGGTTTCCTTTCTTCCTCATTGAATATTTTTATGGCCTTAATGGTAGGCTTGAAATGTGCATTTTCTGGCTTAGTTCTACATGATGTATTAAAATGGATAAGGTTTTCCCTTATTAACCACAAATCTCGGGAGCTTTGGTTGCATCGTTTTAAACTCTGTTGATTATGGAAGAACTGAAAACTGTGCTAGGTTGGTCACCATTGCCAAACAAATATGACCCCTATCTATCATTGTAGAAGCATATGGTTTTCAGGCACCCAATCAATTAATTCCCTGAAGCCTGTCACATTTATCTTGCATCAGTTATAGTAGTTAAGAGCTATGAGTTGGGGAGTTTCTAGTGAATGAAATAATTGGGAGGGGCTTATAATGCGGTTGATAGTTTTACACTGTTAGAGGTATGAGAGAGAAATTATAAAATGTATTTCGAATATGTATCTTATTAGAGGGCGTATAGATTTTCTAATCCGCATCAAACTGTTATTAGGAGGTGGTATATCTTTCTAAAGAAGAAGAAGAAGAAAACTTGTATAATGTTTGGATTGTCTTGTTCTGGAATTAGATCAGTTACTCGTTCTCTTGATACTCAACTGCCCTGCTATAAACTTTTCTCTTGTTTGTGAAAACTTGAGAACTATGTGGCAAGTTAACCAATCCGTGCTATTAATTTCAGGCTGACTGAGGAGTGAGTAGGTTGGATCATGCAACATGGTTCTTGACAGTGTCCTGTCTTCTCCTCACAGGAGGTCCCCATCATTCCGAAAGCCCTTTCCTCCGAACGAGTTTGGTAGTTGGTCGACTCTCGTTCAGCGGCATCGCTTCCTCCTAACGGCACTCGTCCTCTTGACTTTTCTTTGCACAATTTACCTTTACTTTGCTGTCACCTTAGGCTCTTCCTCTTCTTGCTTTGGGATGACGGGGGTGCAAAAAGAACAGTGTCGATTGGAGCTCGCAAAGGCTTCCATGGCTAAAGGGAAACTGAAAATTCTATGATACTTGGGTTTGTCTCCAAAACTTTGTGCCCTTTGTTTGTAATTCTCAACAATTTGGGTTGAAGTTAGTCAGTTTGTGTAGTAAAATGTAAGTGAGCTCTCTATACATGATATCTTATTAAAAAAACAAAAAAAAGAAGAAGAATTCTTCAAAAAAATGCATTAATCAATCATTTTGTGTTTGCAGATTTATGATGTATGTTCTCTTCAGTGCATTAAAACGAATTGTGTTAATTCTGAAGAGGCCAAATTAAAAGTTCTATTTGAGCAATTTTTTGGTGCCTGAGATTTATGAAATCTGTTTGGTCGACTCATGATTCATGAAGATTAGTTGTGTGAATAAAAGAAGTAAGAACGATTATGATTTGGGTTTGCATGGGTCGTGGTCTGATGGTTTGATTTCTTAGAATATGAGTTTGTTGATTCTATAAGGTATACAAGTTTAGATTTTTGAGACTCTGTAATTAAAGTTGTGATTTAGACCAACATTTGATCGATGCCGATATTTAAAATAAAAAATTGACTTGTCTCGATCGACCTCGCCATTTCGCGAATTAAATGATGGAGAGGAAAATGAGGGAGGGAGGGAAAGAAATGAGGAGGGATCACCTTAGGAATGAATCATGTTGGCGGGAGATCGTCCCATGAAATTTTGAGGGGTTTCTTACAAATATTTGAAATAATTCTATGTCATTTTTAAAATTCAAGGTATCAAATTGAAACTAAAATTACATTTCATAAATAAATAATACTGGTTTTTAAAATTCATTGAAATAAAATATAAATATAAATTTCATGTCAACTTAAAGTATAACTTCACTAGTTAAAAGCACGTGGTCAAGTACAAAGTGACGAAACAATAGAGCAAACAAAAATTGTATTCTATATATTTATCGTTTTCAAGTATGTTATGATCTAAATCTAAATCAAGTTGATAGAAAGGGTATGTTTTTTTGGTTAGACATTTGGAATATGAATATTCTCGTAGATATGTAATTGTCCTAACTCACTCACTTTTATTGCAGTCGATATATTATATAAGCGACTCAAATTCAAACAAATTGTCTTAACCAATTAAACTAAAATTCACAAAATTTATATAATTTTTTTTTTTGTTTTTATTGGAACTACATTTTTTATACTTATTTTTTTATTTTATTTTATTTTTGTTGAAATCCATTTTCTAACGCGAGGAACACATAAGTTGGACAAATAATTTCTATAAAAAAAGACGTTAGTTGTATTGTAGACGTGATTGGCTCCATGCCGTGTTGTCAAAATGAGGTAAAAAATTTGGATCAATTAAAACCTTATTCTTCAACTATCAAATCCATATTACTTTCTTCTGTTTTTGAGAGTGGCCACCAAACATTTTCCTTCCATCCAATTATTATTAATTTTTTTGATATATTTATTTTCTTCCATCCAATTTATTTCTCGAATTGGATTCTTGACGTTGAATCGAATTTAAGAATCCGAGCGCAGGAAGAACCTGTGAGAGACTGAGCTGGTTATCATCCCGAATCATCCATTAAAGTTCATCAATGGCGGAACCTCATACGCAGGAAGAACATTTCGACGTCCTCACCAAAGCTGGAGAGAGGACTGGAGTTTCCAAACCCAGGCATGCTCTTATTTAGTATCCTTCTTCTCTTCTTCTACTTAATATTATTTTATACATGTCCGATTGGTTGACCAAAAAATTTAACCGAAAAAGTTGTGTATGTGAGCAACAATTGTTATGTTCAACTTCTGGGTTATGCAATGATTTTTGGATGATGCGAGTTTCTTGCCTTCTAACATGTCATCCATATCCACCTTAAAACTATGCTGATGCCCAACTAAGATTTAAAGTTATACGAGTTTAATTTATTTCATTACTAAATATTGTCGAGTTGCGTGCAAGCCAATATATGTGTATGTGTGTTTATATATGAATGCATTATGGTATTCGGCAACAGATCAAAAGAAAGTTATATGTATGTTCTTACTCTGCAAGTTACCAATACAATTTCAATTTCAGTTATTGGGTTCCTATCAGAATCCATATCATATTACCATTTCCTCAACGAGAGGGTCCTAGCGAATGCTCAACATGTGAACATAAGATAAGCCAAAACTTTGCCACATGCCACGACAAACTTTGGAAGTGAAAGGGCACTACCATAAGATATAACTCAGAACCTTTGATCCACTCCCGCACAAAACACACTAGCGGGCCTACTTAAGAGGAGGATTTTTGTGGAACATCTATTAGCGTCATCTTAATCCTTCCAAAAGGAGAGGAAGCCAAATGAAGATCCAAAGACTTGCAAGAGAAGGTTCCTTATCATTTAAAGGACCATAAACACTTGTCTCTATAACTAGGATAAAGAACAACCTACTGAAGTAAAGAAAAAAGAGAGATTAACTCTTCAATCTCTCAATCAAGGAGGGCCCTACGAAGTCAGAAGTCAAAAGAAGTAGTTTGATAAAAAAGACCATAAATTTCGGTGCACTCTTTCTCCTTTATGTGTGATTGCAATACCTTTCTGTTTGCTAATAACCAGCATGGCTTTTTGTAAGATCCTTTTGTTTTTGTCTATCAAATACTTCGGTTTAAATACAGGAGAGATGTTCATCGAGATGGGGACTACCATCGGGCTGTTCATGTATGGATTTTTGCTGAGAATACACAAGAGTTACTTCTCCAACGACGTGCTGACTGCAAGGACTCATGGCCTGGGATGTGGGATATATCTAGTGCCGGTCACATATCTGCTGGTGATTCATCACTTGTGACAGCTAGGTAACACTATTGATGATTAATTGTTATCATTTTTCACCTCACTGATCAGTCACTGCTCCTTTGTTTTAGGTTGTTTGACTACAAAAAAGCTTCTATATAAGATACAAGTATTCTTTATTGAATGCAATAATAAAATTCATATTATATTTTCTTATAAATTCAGCGTTTCAACTTCGTCCACTGAGAAATAAAAATGTATAAGAACCTTATGAAGTGTGTCAACTTTGTCCATGGAGTTGATTGAATCCTGCTATTATCAATGAATGTTATGCATGTTAATTACAAATACCATTTTTTGTGGATGCCCCTTGGTTCTAATCAATTCTCGGCATATAAGATAGCAGAGTTGAAAACTGGATTTTAATGGTAAAGCTAGAATTATCCGGACCAATCGGTGTTTTTGTTACTCTTTTGGCATTTGTGGTTCAAGAAAAATCAAAGGCATCGAGTCTAGCATAGAGAGCTTTCGGCACCTGACAAACTATATTCTTCTTCTTGGTACCTTCTTCTAAAGATTTTTGTAATTATGAGTTTTTGCATATTTTTGTTGAGTGGGAAGCCTTGCAACCCATTGGTCTTGTGGGGTTGTCTCACCTTCCCTTTTTTTATGTGCCTTTTTGATTAATACTATTATCGGTTTCCTATTACAAAAACAGCTGATTTTAGTCCTTATAGTTCTGTCAGTCATTTTCTTTTCTAATGGGCCAATACTTAAATGACTATTGGCAAGTCTTCATAGTTCTTGGCAGGAAATGACATTATTAGTCATTGCCCATTTGAACGATGGAGTGGCACCATTTGTTAGTTCTAAATTGTGATTTGCTGGTGCTTCATTCCACTACTACTATCTGAACATTTGTTACTGAAAGAATAAAAAAGGAATCTACACGTATTCTTTCAGGAGGGAGCTTCAAGAAGAGCTTGGTGTTATTCTTCCGAAGGATGCATTTGAAATGACATTCGTTTTTCTCCATCAGAGGTTGGTGGATCGGTCACAAGTAACCTGATAAATTAGACATTGCATATGATGTGATCTATTATCTCCTTTTTTTTTTCCTTTTAAAAAAAATTAATTCTGGAATCTGGAGTTGCACTTCCATTTGTGAGGCTTTTCCAAAAAATATCAAATTCTTTTGTTTGGAGCTTAGCGATGCATGATCAAAACCTATGACAGAATTCAAAGGAAAAACTCTTCCCTAGGTGTATCACGAAATTGCTGCCTCACCTGATTCCAAAAGGCTGAAACCCAGGGCCACACCTTTTTATTTCTTGTGATTTTGATATGGATTTTTGGAACAGATTCAAAACTTGCTTGGCGGGTGCTTTCCCTTTCACACAAATCCTAAGATATTGCTTCAGATGGCTTTGGTAGGTCATCCCTTCAAAAAGGAGGATGGAATTATTTGGGTGCATTTGATTAGTCTTCCCAGGGAGTATTTGGCTTGAAAGGAACAACCGGGTTTTCAACGATAAATCTCTCCCATTCAATAGTTCAGAACTTTGTTATTAGCTCTTGGTTGGTGTAAATGTTTATACCCCCTTTCTAATTATGGTCTAAATGATCTCACATCATCAATTTGGACGACCTTTTTGTAATCCAGTTATGGGGATTCTCCTTTTGTAAATTTCTTTCATCTTGAAGTTTCTTACCAAAAAGAAAAAGTAGGACTTCTACTTTTACCTGATTTTAGTTTTTGAAAAAAAAGTCTTCCATTTCTGAACATGGCTTGGATCCCTTGCTTTTCCTATCAGGAGAACTTCAAGATTGTATTTTTATCAATGAATTTTTTTTCCTATGAAAGAAGTTCTGGGTTGTCATCCTCTTGATTTTTGGCTTCATCTTCTCTAATTCATTGATCATCAACAATATGCATACTCATCCACAATCTATATTATATTATTAGTAGGTCTGGGCATCTCTTTTGTCTGTGTAAATTGATAAGATCTCTTAATTTTATCCTACAATATCATGAGGTCACGTCAGCCTTTTTTTTTTTTCCTGGAATAAAATATAACGCTTTAGAGTTCTAGTGCATCTTGTGAGAGTATTATGCTCCGTAATCAGTATACATTAGCATAATATGTAATTCAATCCTAATTTGGGATTTTTTAACGTAGAGTCTACTCCTTCATTGCCTGTTTATTTATTTATTATTATTTTTTTCCTCTTTCTGATTTAGCCTTAAATTGATTTACAGCATCTTAAATGGTGGAAAATTTATTGATAATGAATTTGATGATGTGTATTTGGTAACAACATTGGATCGAATCCCTCTGGAGGCTTTTACTCTTCAGGTTGGTGTTTAATCATCCATTTTTCTCTCATATGGTCCTAACTGCTAACTAGGTATGTTAAATCTTTCTTGTGTCTACGCTGCCAGCATACCATTCCTGAAAATGTTTTTTGCTTGAAAGACATAAGACACAAACTTATGATCTTTGAACTTCTAGAAAATATGTTGTGAAATTCAGAGGCTGTTTGCATTTCAATGCATTTTGCGTTTTAAAATATAATGGTCAGTATGCATTCGAAACTGATTTGTACGAGACTCTGAACGTATGTTTTGCTTTAAATTTGATGTAGGAATCAGAAGTTTCTGCTGTTAAATATATACATTATCTGGAGTATAAAAGGTTACTTGCAAATAGAGATCCTGCTTATGCCCCATATGATGTAAATGGACAATATGGTCAACTTTTTGACATAATTGCACAAAGGTAAGCTATCAAAAATATCTGATGGCATAATCCTTTGTTGACAGGTTTAATATCCTTGAGGAGAAGATATTACTTTCTATATGATGAAATTTTATATAGTTCTATTGTCAAATAGCTAATTGTGAAATTGACATTTTCTAGGTTGAAAAATAATATTATCGTAGCAATCAGTCTTTAATCTATTCTATCATCCAGATATAATAAGAGAATAAGCTTTTCCTTTACATACCTTGCCTGAAATATCCACATGCTTTTATTTTTTGGTCTTTCCATGAAAAAAAGTAGAATATATTTTTTTCCCTCATTTCTAACAAAAAAAAAAAAAGGAAAAAGAGAAGGATAGAAGGGAGAGAGAAGATCTCCTTGAACAAGAGTAAGCTGGAATCTATCAAAGTTAACTAAATACAGGTATATTTACTTCCCGCGTGAGTTTTTTAGATGCTCGGTAAACAATACTCTTTGTTATTCTTACTGAAGTTGGACCATTTTGCATCTCTAAAGCCTTATATTTGCTCTCAAATTTTAAGAAATCAAATCATACAGTATGTAAAAGTTAAAAGAAAGTAAGTGAATGCATCTTTGAATTTGTTATCAGTGGGAAATAGTTATTTGTATCTGTTTTCATAGATTAAAGGTCAATCCACATACTCCAACTCCATTATGTTTTGCTAAATAGTAAGTTGCAATACCACCATACTTTCTTTAATTTATATTTTAGTTTAGAATCAGTGTTCGGGCTACTTACGCGTAATTTGACTAATTTATGCAACAATTACCTGACCCCACAATATTTGATTTGAATGCTACCCAACTTTAATTTGATATATGCAACAATGATATATTCTACATGACATGACATGTAGAATTTACATTCCAAGATGTATTTAGTCAATTAGCTTTAATCCCTCCCCCCGGGGCAAACAGGTACAAGGTCGACAATGCGGCGCGCAATTCGACTTTACAAAAGCAACTGAAACGTTATGCTTCTGTTTCACTCAATGTTGAGGTAGCTACCTTTCTGAATTTACAGATCTTCTCGACTTGCCTATGTGTTCTATCCTTGATCTTGTATTTTCACAATTAAGACTTAAGAGCCTGCAATCTCTTAGTGCTATAGAAGGCTTTTTATTTACCAAAAAGCCTCCCAAATGACAATAATAGAAGAGGCCGAATAACTACAAAAAGGACCAAAAAAAAAAAAAAAAAAGAAAGAATAAAAGTATGCGAAGAGGAGTCCATAAAAACAGCAAGGTCCCGAAGTTTCATCCCTAATCCTTTCTACCTCCTACTCTCAATCCATACATTCCAAAGTAGAACACAAAGACCATGCTGCCAAATCATAGCTTGCTTGATCGATTGAGCAGGATTTGGGTGATAAACTCTTCTATCCTTATTGGGGAAACCACCTAGAAACCTAGAACTTTATACTTGGGAATGCTAGTGAAAGGGAACCAACGGGTCAGGTGATGTGCATCTTCACTGCTTAGGCAAATAGATCTAATGTAAAGCTAACTCTCTCTCTCTCTTCCACATAGTTCTACCAGGGGAAAAAAAAGATCATAAAGATCAGCAAACTCCACCAGTTGTTGGAAATGAGAGAGTTCACCATAAAAGATCCTGTAGCTTGCAAACTCTAGCTGTTGTCTGAAGATGGGACCTCTGACCAATAAGGAAAAGAAGATTGGTCCATCATCTGCTTAGCTATCATTTAAAAAATTCCTGAAATTGCAAGATCAAACGGCTTTTAAGAGCTCCAAACCTCCTTGATAGTTTGGTTCTCATTAGCAGCAAAATTGATCTGTCTAGGAACTTCATTGAAAATGGCTCTCACTCCTTCCAAGCATCCCTCCCAAAACCCTGATCTTAGACCTGTTACCCTGACCTAGACCCACAACCAATGCTGAATATTCTTCCATGATATTTTTTTATGTTGATCAAGTGCCCAGGGCTTCTAGCAGATCTATTGTTGGAAATTTCTTTGTACTTAAATTGAAAGTCACACCTTTTGTATGGTAACATAGAATAAGGAGAGGTTTTATATTGTTGTCAATAGTACATGGTTCGTGTATGGGAGTTGACATATTAGCCAAAAATAAGATATGGGAAATTTTGGGAGTAGGAATATACGGCTTTTCCAGGAGATGCTTCAGGAACAGCATTTAATTGTGGCTATTTGTTTTAACCTTCTGACTCAGAAATGTGTATTCCAACTGTATTACTAGTAGAGTTCATTGGTCAACTAAATAAGTAATAACCCCACAAATTGAGAGCAGAAAGTGTGAGGACTACTACTGAAGGGAGGGAGGCCCACTCTACAATTTCTTCATCCAGAAAGTGTCTTTGGAGATTGAGGTCCCAGACTCCCAACTGTCTGGAAGCCACCAGAGAATGGAGACCCAAGTATCCTTGTAAGATGATAATTTCCTATTGGAGAGGGCAAAATGCTCGGGGAAAATCTTGCATAAAGGTTCACTTCCAATCCATCAGTCATGCCAAAAACTACTAAACTAGTGGATGAACCATTTTCAAGTGAGCATATAGCTCTCACTCGTATGCGAAAGTTAATAATTTAATAGAAACACCCTTTCTATGATTTATGATCAGAGGAAATAACAAGGATCCAGGTAGAATTAGAGAGCTCTCAGACCTTTCCCAAATATTACCGGACTAAATAGCCAAAAGATACCCCTCTACCTCACTATCCAGGGTGTATATAACCCTTACAACAAAATGCCCCATTTTCCTTCTACTAACCGTACTGTGGTCCCCCCTTTCTAATGGTTTTGCCTTACTTTCTACCCCCTACCAGTATGAGCCCTTTTATAGTGTATACATTCTTAATCTTAGGCTTATCATAATCTTACTAACGAATCCTGAAAAAACTAGTTGAAACAACATTAAGACAAATTACAAATAAGTAAATCAATCTTTATTCTAAAGTTATAATTAATAATCCTGCCGTGCCAACCAATCCTGAAAAACTAATTAAAACGACATTAAAGCAACTTACATACAATGTCACTGTGTTGGATCTAACCTTTATGCAAGCTATAATTAGTAGGATGAGTTAGCAGGATTATTTACTATAGTAAAACAACTTTTAACCTGAGGTAAAGGTTAATAATCCTACTAACGAACCCTGAAAAACTAGCTAAAATAACATTAAAACAGTTACAAATATTACACTACCAAACCTACGTGAAGAATATGATGAGTGGGTTTTTTTTTTTTTTTTCTGTAGTTGGAAGGGCTTACAGATTCAGATAAAGAGGCTCTGGCTGCAATTATCAAGGCTGCGGCAATAATGGATGAAATATTTTACCTGCAGGTTTGCATATACTTATTAGTTTTTATGAAGTAATCTTATAGGGATGATTGCTTGCTTTAATTTTGCCTACGAAAATATAACATGTAGTTAAGAACCGTGCTGAAATAGTTCTATAATGTTGTTTGATTTAAAAAATGATACTGATCTCATCGTGAGAATGCCTTTCCATCACCGAATCCAGTCACCAAATTAGTTCTCTGATTGGATCTCTCAAGAGACACTGAGTTAGTTATGCGATCCCTAGGAGAAAATGTGTTTAGGACAGTATAAGGTGAACCCAATCAGTGCATTAGTTCTGTGTTTGTGATGAAAACGAAAGATTAGTTAGCCACTATGTGTCGACCTAGTGGTAACTGGGACAAGTGTAAAAATGTTGAAGGGTTTAATAGGAATGAGTTCAACTTATCATAGTCACCTACCTAGAATTTGAATCCCACAACTTTCTTTGGTAGTTAAATACAGTAATGCACAAGTTGAGGTGTGCACAAGTTGGCTTTACTCACGGTTATAGAAAGAAAAAAAGGAAACACAAAAGATGGGTTAAGATAATTTAAGCAAGATGGTTGGAATTTGCTTCAAAGCTGATGCTTTTCCTTCTTTCTTTCTCTTTTTTTTTTCTTTTTTGGTGAAAAAAAACAACTGGTTAAATATACCGAAGGGTTACTAATCTTGTAGGTAATTCCCAATTTGGTCTTTAATATTTTAGAATTCTTAATTTTACTCTTAAGTCTTAATATATTAAAAAGTCTCAATTAGGTCCTTCTTTACAAAAATCTGTTACTAGATGATGTGCCATTAAATTATTATTTTATTAATATATTTGAAACATCAACCCTATGCCACTTGGACGAAATGGATATTATTAATGGGTAGGTGAAATTTTGTTGATGGGCTAGTTGGTTTCATGTTTCAAGTAGCATTCAAGTGGCACATCTACAAATATGTTAATAAAATAATAATTTAGTGATACTATCAACTTTTTGTTATTAAGGTAGTGGAATGGGGGAGAATCAAAATGAAAATCTATCAAGAAAAGCAAATTGTACAATGAGGATCAAACTTCTGACATCATGTTTGCTAAAATTATTTTGGAGTTGGAGTTCAAACAGAGAGAATTTCTATTAATTGTTTACTAATATTGATTGGAAATGGAACCACATTTAAATTCGTATGGATCCACAAAAAATTAGAGAGAAGAAAAACAAATGCGAAATGGAAATGACGTTTCCTAACTTCCCAAGAAGAATAATAAATTAATGAAATTGATTCTCAATTTTAGTGTGGAGCTTCCAAATGGGAATCGTTAATCTTTGATAAATTTAGTAAGTCATTGGAATGAGAATGAGGGGGAAGAATAATGTAACTGGTTTTTTTGTTTCCATTTTTCCATCAAACCCTCCTGAACTAAAAAGCTGCTAATGTAACTGATTTGCTTTTAAATCGTTGATTGTGGTGATGGGTCTTTCTAGAATTTGTGGTTTTATATTATTTTGTTCAGGTTTGGTACAGTAATCCAGATTTAAGAGATTGGTTGAAGAAGCATGCTGCTGCTTCGCAGTTAGACGAATTGAAGTGGGCCTATTATCTGATTAATAAAAATCCATGGTACATCTTCTTTAGAGTAGTATATATACATACATACATATATATATATATATATTTTAGTTTCTCTAACTGTCTTAGTTCTTGAATGTCCTTGCATTTATGAACGAATGCAGTATCAACGGGTGGGCTATTTGAAAACTTAATCTTCTGTATTTATGCACTGTCTGCTAATCCTAATTTATTTTCATCTTTTTCATGATGAAGTTTCTTGGCTTTTATGTTTTCACAAATGCCGTATATGGATTAATTTTCCCCAATAGATAACATTTCATGTTCAACAGGTCTTGCCTTGATGAAAACGAGGCATTTCTGACTACTGCAGATTCAGCAATAAAATTGCTTCCTCAAGCCACTAGGCCAGTTACGGGGTGGAAGGGCCTGGAATATAAAGCTGCATTTCCCTTGCAGAAACCTCCTGGTGCAAACTTCTACCCTTCTGACATGGACAAGCTGGTATGCAATGAGCATATTTACTGCTTGACAAGGAAAAAAAAATTAGATGCGTTCATATAAAAGAAAAAATCTTTAAGATGCAGCAAGTCCATCTTGTTTCAATCTTGTAGGAATTCAAACTATGGAAAGACAGTCTGACCGAGGATCAGAAAGATGTCGTTACAGGATTCTTCAGTGTAATCAGAAGACATAGTGAATCTAATTTAGATTCGTCTATTTGCAATAATGGTCTTGATAGCACAAACCATTTGGAGGGTTCTACTTATGATTTGTATAGCGTACCTTTTTCCCAAGAATATAATTCTTACCTATCAAAAGCTGCTGAATTATTGCATAAAGCAGGGGAGATAACTAGTTCTCCCAGGTATGAATCTTCACATTTTTACATCCTACTTTTATTTCTCAATATCTGAATGTATCGTATTCTGCTTACAACGTTCTCTGATTTTTTCTTCCTTTGAATAGTTTGAAGAGGTTACTACATAGCAAGGCTGATGCTTTCCTCTCAAATGATTACTATGAATCAGATATAGCATGGATGGAATTGGTTAGTGTAGCAAGTTTGTTACACTTGCAAAGTTTTGCAGTGAATATATATTGTTAATTTGTTTGATATGGCTTTGGGCCTAGCAATGGGGATCCTGAACGGGGATGTATAGGAATTCCTTAGGAACAGTTCTCATTTTCAAAGTATCGTTTGAACATTTTGAATCATCAATAGAGCGAGAGTTTGTTTTTGCAATTTGCACAAGATGATAGATATCTCAGAATGTGAGAGACTTCATTTCATAAGTCTTTAGTGTTCTCTTCCTTGTTCATGTCCTAGGTAGTTTATAGATTTCTTCTGGGGATAAAAGGCAGTTTATAGAATTGAAAACATATTGCACGTCTAAAATAATGAATTTTTATACCAAAGCATGTTTTTCCCAATAGTTTTTGTACGTTTTCTTTTTCTCGTTGATGAATTATTTAGCTTAAAATACAGCATAATATATTAATTGACCTTTGCAACATCTGATCTATCTAATCATTGGAATTTAACAATGAATGTATTTAATCTATCAAACCATCATGGTGTGGCCTAGTGGTCAATAAGGGTCAATGTAGTAGGGCAACTAAATGTAGTAGGGTCTAGCAATTGTCTCGTGAGATTAGTCGAGGTGCGTGCAAGCTAGTCCAGATATTCACGGATATCAATAAAAAAATGTATTTAATCTATAAAATCATTGGAATTTAACGATGAATGTATTTGATCTATCTAATCATTACAATTTAATAATAATRATGATATTTTCAAATTGTGGTGTCTTTGTTTGTAGGACTCTAAGTTGGATGTTACTATTGGTCCGTATGAGACCTATGAAGATACAATTTTTGGGTATAAGGTACCTATTAGCTCCTTAATTTATTTTGCGTAGACATCGATTGTACTTCAAAAAATAAGCCAGACTCAGCAAAACATATGTTCATTTGATGGCTCGAAATTCTTTTGAGAACTTTCTTTGCTTAAAACAAACCCCTTTTTTGCCTTAAAAATGAGCGCTAGAAAGGCATGTGATACCTCCCATAGTGTGGTTCCTAATTGGTATTCTATTTTGTACTAATTTTTTACATCAAATTTGAATTTACTGATGTGGTGTGATACCTCCCATAGTATATGGCCTCAGTGGTATTCTATCTGGTACTAATTTTATACATCAAACTTGGATTTACTGATTTTTTAAAAGTACTGGTTCTTTTCAATTCACAATTTGCATATATCAACGCTACAAAATTTTTGAATTGCATTAGGCTACATTTGAAGCTTTCATCGGAATTCGGGATGACAAAGGAACTGCTCAAGTAAAACTTTTCGGTGATAATTTGCAGGTATTCTTTTGAATGGCTCTAATCTTGATCTCCTCCCCAAAAAATCTAAGATGGTTTTATCATCCTTTCATAGGAAAGAGCAAGTTTTTTTCCCCTTGAGAAGTAGTTCTAATGCTAATGTTCTTATTATAGGTCTTGGAACAAAATCTCCCTATGGATAATGCATACAAATCAAAAGATGTTAGTGCTGCCCCTATACGTGTTGTTCAGCTTCTCTATAATGCAGGGGTGAGTCAATTTTCACGATTTTCATGCAGTCACATAAAATTTACATTCATTCCTTTTATAAGACACACTTTTACATAGGTTTATGTATATAGATTCTACAATAAAAGAATGGAGGATAACGAAGATGCATACCTTATATAGTTATATGTTCCTAACTCTAAAGGAAAGAGAAGTAGCAGCCCAATTCCAATATAAGCAGAAATATGCGCATTAACAAAGATGGTATTTGTACAAAGAAGAGATGGCTGGGATTTAAACCCAAGCCCACCTCGTTTTTGAGATTCCAAAGGGTATTTAGGAGATGTCTCATAGCATGTGTTTTCGAATGCTTCTCCTTGGGTATCATTCGAAGTTACAGAAAAGGTCTCCAAGGGATTAAGTGTTGGCAGAATAATTACAAAGGAACTTGGATCTAAGAAACTCAGACGTAGAGCAAAGGCTATTCTTGCTTCCGATAGCTGATCAAAATTTCTGAAAGAGTCGCTGTAGGTTCTCCTATTACTTTCTAGCCACAACTACCACAACATAACACAAAAGCTACTTTGATCCATAGGATTTTAGCTTCATTCTTATAATAATTTCCACAAAATCCCAAAGTCATCCATTCCTTCTCTAAGTTCTCTTTCCGAGGAAGAGGAAAATGAAAATTGAAATGGTTGGCCAGCTTAACCCAAAGAGACAGAGACCATGGCCAGAAGGGCAATATAGGAAAACCATACTAATCTATAAATGATGATCTTAAGCGCTTTTTTTTTGGATGGATTTGTATTCTACTGATTTATTCCGGATGATGGATTGGAACTTTTCAATCATATCTGTTTTTTACAGCATATGAAACAGTTTGTTCAATACCACTAGAGAGGCAAACCATACTAATCTATAAATGATGATCTGCAAGAATTTGAGGTTAATTTCTTGGTATTTTATCAGGATGTAAAGGGTCCTCAAACTGTTGCTTTCAATTTGCCAAATGATGAGCGAATTTTGAAAGACCGAGGAACATCAATGGTCATGCTTAAGAATGTTTCAGAGGCCAAGTACTGTATTAATTTCCGTCATTTTATCTTAATTTTGGATGATTACTTATCGGAAATTATTAGACATATATGAACATGCTTGTTTTCAAAATTTTATAGGTTCAAGCATATTCTTCAGCCTATTGCTGATGTTTGCATTACAAGCGAACAACGTGGATTTGTGGACTTCGATTCTTTCTTTACTCATACAATTTGCCACGAGTGTTGCCACGGTATTGGACCTCATACCATAAAACTTCCGAACGGTCAAGAATCTACCGTGAGATTGGTTAGTGCCATAAATTATATGTTTGATATATTTTTATGATTATTCCATTTTTTTTTTCTGGATATGGATTATATACCTTTATTTATATTGAGACAAAAATGTACAGTGAGGAGTACTATCGAATTTTCTATTCGATATATTTTATTTTATTTTATTTTACTGGATATGAACGTTGCCCTTGTATCGCTACAAAATCACTGTTTCACATGTTGCCCTCATTTGCTTCCATCAAGTACTTTTTCTTAATCTATATATAAAAAATAAATGGAACCACAGCCATTCTATTAAATCGAAATAGCGAAATTCTTGGGTCATCTCAATGGATTCAGAAACCACACGAGTACTTCCTTACTTATTTTGAATAATAGTCAACATAATTCTCAAAGTTACACTAGTTTTGCTATCTAGATAACGAATCTATGGAGGAATCAAGAATCACTTTAGTTTATAAGAATCTGTTTAAAAGAATATGCATACTTTTGTTGGTGTGAGCTGTGATTCCCAAAACCATAAATTTGGTTTGTCTTTTTAAGAATGTCATATGGTAAAGGGAGTTGAGAAATTTTTTTACTTATTTGAGAAATCTTGCAGTTCTGATTCTGTTGATCATAGAACTTTTGTTCTTAATTCCAATGGGAAAAAAAGGACAAAGTTGTAGATCTTGCTTCAGACTGACATCTATTTTCTGTTCCTGGTTTCATTGAAGATCTTTCTAGTAGTCATATTTTCTCTTTATTTTTGGTTACAGGAACTTCAAGAACTCCACTCAGCTTTGGAGGAAGCAAAAGCTGACATTGTAGGCCTTTGGGCGCTGAGGTTCCTTATCCTACAGGTTGGATGAAATTTGGATCAACCGACCTTTTTACCTAGAGTATTTTACCAAAAAAAAAAAGAAAAAAAATCTAGAATATAGCTCAATTGGTTAAGAGATATATTTCTGATTAAAAGGTCGTAGATTTGAATCCTCATCCTATGTTGTACCAAAAAATGGCAAAAAAAGAAAAAACTCCAATCGTCTATTTACTTATATGTTGGAATCTCAACTAGGGTCTGCTACCAGGAGCTTCATTGAAGTGCGTGTATGCTGCTTTCCTTGCGGGATGTTTCCGATCAGTACGTTTCGGCTTATCAGAGGCTCATGGGTAAGCTGACAATATGAAACTGCTTCTTCTACTTCTGTTGCCTAAAATCTTAGACTTTCGGTTTGTTGGCAGGAAAGGACAGGCGTTGCAGTTTAATTGGCTGTATCAGAAAGAAGCCTTCATTTTAAATCCAGATGAAACTTTTTCTGTTGATTTTGACAAGGTACGCCCTTAGCCATTTTGTTTTTGGTTCTGGTTCTCTTTTTTAAAATTAAACTTGATAAACACTACCTATATGTTTCTTTGTTTTGTTATCTATTATTTTTTTATTTTATTATTATTTTTTTAATGTTTTCAAAATCTAAGTCAAATTATAAATGCTAAAAATTTTTGGTTTTAAAATTTGGCTAAACATTTGAATTCTTAAGAAAGGTGAAAAACATACCCAAAAAAAAAAAAAGAAATGTTAGGAAGCATAACGATTTCGTTTTTTGGTTTTCTGTTACAATTTCTTTAGCATGTTTTTCACATTTTTTGGGAATATATTTGAATTCTTAACCAAATTAAAAGAAAAAAAAGAAGTTTTTGAATTATACTTGCAAACTTATTATTTTTTTTCCTTCAAATTTTGACTTAGATTTTGAAAAATTTGATAAAAARACAAATGAATATGTAGGTAGAAATAGTGGTTATAAGCTTAAATTTAAAAAACAAGAAAGTAAAAAACAAAATAGTCATCAAACATGACCAAAATTATCATCAAAACGGCTTCAATTTTCGTCAATAATATTATACTCGTAGCTACCAAATATTTTCCTTTCATTTTTAAGGTGGGAGATGCAGTTGAAAGCCTGAGTAGGGAGATACTAACCATACAGGCAAGAGGTGACAAGGAGGCAGCTAAGCTTCTCCTTCAGAAATACAGTGTCATGTCACAACCTTTGGAAGTAGCTTTGCGTAATTTAGAACGAGTCCAGGTAAATGCTAACAACGACCCATAGATTTACTATTAGATTCAAAGATTGAAAATTCCAGTAGACTTAAATTTGAGAAATTACAAGTAATATCAAAATTTAGTGCCATAGAGTATAGACTATAGTTACAGAAATAGCATATATTTTAATAATATTTAATAACTGTTGAATTTATTCATAAAATATGACATTGAATATGCTGTTTTGTAGATGAGGTATACAATGTTTTAGTTAATGAGCATTAGTTTACATTAAGAATCACATAAATGATTAGTGGTTGCACACTTTAATTGCTTGATTTGTATTACTGATAATATATTTTAATATTGATTGAATTCTGTTCCTCATTGAAAACAGGTTACTGAAAATAAAAACTATCAAGTGATCTTTGTATACAATATGAATAACGTCCTCTTGAAATTAACCCCCAAATTAAACTTTAAATGTACCATAGCATCTTGTTCTGAGAAAATTTCTTGTGCTACAATGAATTCCTGCTGTTCATATTCTGTCATTTGGTCACGTAAATTATTATTTAATTATAGAAGTTGGTATTATATTTAATTATTACTATTGATGATACTATTAAATATAAATAGAAAATTTAATTATCTTCATCCTTGCAATTTCAGGTACCTGTGGATATAACTCCCGACTTTCCCATTGCCAAAGAAATATTGGGATAGAAGATTTTGCCTTTATGCTGAAGAGTTACTACTCGGGGTAATTTGAAATATGATTATTCTCTGCAGAGTAATTATTTGTCTAAATAAAATGAATTCATATTTCCATTTTCCATCATGAAGCTTTATTGAACCCGGAGCCGAAGCCAAGAACAAATTATGGGTTTGTTTCTAATTTCTCCAAGTTATCCAATTTCTCAGAATTTACAGCTTATTTTCTAAATTATTGTGCTTCATTTTATCCTAAATTTCTTCTAGCTTCGGTTATTTGAGTTAATGGTTGAATTGTCACTCGTGGAGGATAGGGCCTAGTGAGTAGGTAGTTGGATCCTTGCAATTTTGTTCTTCGTAGTAAATTGCTAGGGGATGTAGAGTCAATTAGTAGAAAAAGGACTCCTAAACTATTATGAATTCGTTCGGACGAAAAGTCGACTTCTCTCATTTCTTATATTTCATACGAATAAGGCGTTTAAAATGATGCAACATTCTTTTATGTTTATTTTAGACTATGTTTACTTACCAACAATCGTAATCAAGAAATCGTAATGAAAACTTTCATTTGTTTTGATGGTGTTTATCAAATTGTAGAAATGGAATCAAATAGTGGGATCCACTTCAAACTTTGTAGTCTTATTTCCGATTATAGCCCAACTTCATCAACTTTATTCTCATTCCTTAAGTACAATACGTGGGTACAGAGATTCAAATTATCAATCTAGCAATTGGATACATGTATCTTAACCCGAACTATATTGACTAAAATATCAACTTATCGAAATGTAAAAAATGCATCAATCTAATAACAAAATATAAATGATTGAATAAACCACCATATATAAGAGCTCATTTAATCAATCGTTGTTTTCTACCGTTGGCTTTTAGATTTTAGTTTTCAAAACACAAACTTGTTTGATAACTCATTAATTCTTAAATTCCTAACCGTTTTAAAAATTCTATGCATATTTTAAAAATTAGCTTTTAAAAATATATTTATTTTTTTTCTTATAATAAATTTACAACTTTTATCCTTTCTCTCATATATTAATTAGACCAATACAATTTTTAATTAATTTTTTTATATTTTTATAATTTCTTCTTTATTTATACTTCAATTTTTATTAGTTGATGTGATTTTATATTCATAGATTTTTTAAAATAGAAATTATTATTTTTAAATATTAGAATAATAAAATTTAATAATGTGTTATATTAAATTATGGTTGTTCAAATAAAAAAATATTTTATTTGATGTAATTTTATTTTAATTATTCATTATTTATTAATATTAAATAAATTGTTACAATAAAAAATGTTTACCGTCAATGATATAGTAATAAATTAAGTTAAAATTTATTATTATTGTATATAAAAAAGATTAGAGTACAACGATGTATTTGTAATGAGTTAAAAAGGAAAAAAAAGTATACAAGAGTAATTGTTATATATCTGATTCTGATTTCAATTTCAGACGGTTTTAATAAACAACATCAAAGGAATTTTGATGATGATTTCATAAAATTGATAGTAAATAACATCAAAAGAACATTCTCCTTTCAATTGATTTCATTTTGATTGTGGGAGTCCTAAATTTCTAACAGTCAAGTAGTAGACAACATTTCCTCTTAGTTTTTAGTTATTCTCATTCTTAATGGTTGATTTAAGAATTTGCCTATGATTTTTCCAATTGATATTTAGATATAAAAAGATCTTATTTCTTCTCTACTACACGTAGTATCATAATCTCTCGTTTTTTATAAGCCACATGCTATAATATGGAAGCCAAGTAAATTTGAATTTTTTTTTCTTCATACTACGGGGCACCATGGGTATAAATTCATCACTATCGATGTAAAGTTAATTCCATCGAGTGCATAAACTGAAACACTAACTCTAAGTTCACATCTTTACAGATCACAGGTAATAAAGTGAGCATAAATGAAGTATTTTCTGTTCATAAGTTCAGGATGGTACAGAATACAGATGATGAATCCTCACTCACCCACTGAAGAGGCAGGGGCCTAGTTTACCCTCTGGTTTACTCCCCATGACAACAAGTGGTTTCGGATCCAGAAGAAAATTTTACTTTTTATTGAGATCAGTAAGATACAGTGAAAAGAAACAACAAAAGAAAGGTTTCACCTTGGATTAGCCAACATAGGAAATCCATTAGATAGAAACACAGGGATCATTCCTAGACAACCTTCAGCTCCTTAAGCCAAGCAGTATGCAGGGGGCAAGGGTCAGGCTTTCCTGCTGCAATGGCTTTCTCAGAGAGAGAATAGAACCATCCGTTCCGCCATTTGAACTGTGGAGGTAAAAGGGTTGTTAGTAAAAGATGGTAATATTTGAGAGCTCGTGCCTGTTAAGAGTTCAACAATTCCCTTTGAATTCTAATCTACCTCTTTTACTGCTGTTGGGAAGTGTGCGACGGCCCGAGAATATGCACATAATCTTTCCTCTATGCCATCTTCGAACACCAACTGCCTTTCAGCTGCGGCTGCACATGCAAGTTCTGCAATGAGGCTAGAAACCTGCAATCATAAATTTTGATCAAATTGTCTATCCTAGATTTCCAGTTTAACTAAAGAGAATAACATTCGAGGTGGTCGTAATCTCCAGTGTTGGTTCCTCTTGTAGGGACCGTGGCAAGTGAGACTGGAGATATTGCCCATTTTTTTTGTTGCGAGTGAAATTAAAGAGGTTCCCAAGGAAGTAAGCACAACATTGGACAGCAAGTTCATCATCCAGTATCAGTTAAGAATTGGAACAGACCAAGAAAGACCTTGTTGGTTCAGTTTTCAACAGAAATTGAACTGAATAGACAATACATAATATAAGAAATTTGCAGTAAATTCAGTAAATTTATTGTATGAAGGCATCTTACCTCGGAGCGATAGTCCTTCTCCACAGCACCCACAGTCGCACCAGGATGTCGAGCTCCAACAAGCATAAATGCAGAAATCCAAATCAGCTTCTCCAACATTTGTTTCTCAAATGCTTCCTTATCAAGAACCTAGCTTACAACATAACCCTCTAAAGTTACTGTCTAGATTGAACAGAAAATTCTCAAAACAACATTCATGAAACAACTCGTTGTTTATGTCTCTCCCAAAATTTCATGAACAAAAACCACACAACTTAAAACAGCCCAGATTAACTTCAACCTTACACCAGTTGCACAAATAATTTTCAGTTTACACATAAGAGGGCACATTTGTTTTTGCTTTTACCTTACAGGAGAGGCCTGCAGCATTGAGCCTTGTAGCTACAGCAGATGCCCATTTTCCATATGCTGCTGTCAGTCCTTCAGGATTGGTATCCGTTATTCCATCCACGGGTGCCTCTCCGAGCTTCGAGATAGCGAAGTAAGCTAATAGTTGATTAGCATCCTCTAGGCCTTTGCTTTCATACCAAGGGTCCAGCATTCCATTCTGGAAAAAAACCAAATCTGCTAGATTGTCAATATCCATTGCCAAAAAAACACAGCACAAGCAATTGCATGATAAGATTTTCCAATGGGAAACCTTCTCTTTTTCTAAACCCAAATATCGCACAATACTCAAAAGTTTAAGCTAATAGTTTACATTTCTCCTGTCTGAGCTCAAATATTTATTTGATTCACAAAGCTCAACATGCTAGCTATAGCTACTGATATCTCATTAGGAAATGGGAGACTTTTCCAACAAGCAAGCGTCCAAGTCCAAAATGCCAACACTTAGAACAGAAATCAAAACTTTAAAACCCCCACTAAATGAGATGGAAGTGAATTGAAACATGGTGGAAAGATTTCGCAGGAAATCATCGTCGAAAGGTATCCCAATTACAAAGACTCCATTCGAATTCAGTGATCATACCGTTCCATCTCGATCGAGGAGTGGCTTCAAGAACAGCCTCAAGATCATCATTCCTGGTACACACGAGGATGGGGCCCGAAAAATCAAGGGGCACGGACTCGCCTCTCTTAACCAGAAAATCTTCACCATTCCCCATATCGAGCAGCGCCCTCCCGACGCGGCCACTCCCGACTATGACGGCCGGCACGACCTTGGTTCCCGTAGCCGCCGCCATGATTCTCAGACGGCGAACCCTAAATTTAGAAGTGGGTTTAGAGAGTTGAAACCGGAGGGAAGGGCTAGAGATTGTGAAGGAAATTGCGGCGGCCATGGCTGAGAAGGAAATTAAGCAGGCAAGGTACTAGAGACATGGCTGTGGGGCTTGTATAAGCACGGGCTGGGAGTGGGTTTGCAGAAGGAAGCGAGTGGCGGAGAAGAAGATAAGCCATTTGATCTGTGGCTTGGCTTGGCCGATTGATCTTTCTTGTTTGTGGGCCTAATGGGCCTTCCTTCTCCTATTTCAGTTTAAATTGGGCCGGCCCAACCTTTATATCTATGACCCAAACTCATGGATATGGGACTAATTCGAATGGTTAAAAGCTTGGCTCTTAAAAATTCAGAACCACAATGAAATGATACGATCCAAATTAACATGGGTTGACTTTGGAATTTTTCTATTTATTTTATTAAAATTCATATATCATTAATGTCTCTTTCATAAATCTCTTATTTTTTTTTTCAAAAACTTGTTTGACGTTTCTCCTCCTCTCTTTTCTCTCCCTACACTCTTTTTTTTTTCTCTTTTGAAATGCACCTCGCTTTTTATTTGACTAATTTTCTACAAAAGGAAAAATAATAACAAATTTTATTTGCTACTTTTTTTCTAATATTATTTTTTTTCAAGAATATACTCTTTTCCATGCTTAACTAAGTATCTCTTTTTTTCTCTCTCTATTCTTTAGATCAAAGAGAACTAAAAAATTAATCACTTGTTCATAATCAACCGTTATTTATTCTTAATTATTAGAACATTGTTCATACGTTTCTCATACGGTTGCTATGAGCCTCCCAAGTTAATCAAACTGTTGAAAATATATAGTATTTCATTTAAAAGAAAAACAATAAATGATAAGGAAAATAAAAAGCAAAAAATTATCATGTACCTATAAATTGTTATTCTATAACTTGAATACGAAAAGTGAAAGATAGAGGAAGGTGAGAGAATATAGGGATTGAGGGGAGGGGAGGAGAAACGTATGGATTTTGAAAAGAAAAAAATAGTAAAAGATATATTGAAGAGATATCAAATGAGATATGAATTTAATAAAATAGTTAAAAAATTTCAATGTCAACATGTTAACTTACTATTACGTTGTGGTCCTAAGTCTTACAGAGCTAAATATTTTCCTTTCGAATATATAGACGTAGCATTATTTTTCACTCGGTATCCAACTATTTTTTTCTTGTTCAAGCTTCGATTTTCCTTCTTTTTCTCCCCGGAAAATTGTACTAAATGGCAAAAAACAGATGTATTCATAAATACATCTCTTTTTTTTTTTGGGCTGTTTTTTAATTTTTTCCCAAAATAATTAATTTTCGGACAAATGTACAAAAAAGAGGACAGTGTGTGGTCCAGTAAGAAGAGCAGCATCAGATTGAGATGTCCCATTTTGAAAAGAGGAAAAGAGAGAGAGAGAGGAAAAAAAAAAGTTCCCGCCTTTCAACGAAACTCCAAAATCCAAATCAATAGTCAAATCCCACTGTTTTCAGACATTGCTTCTTTTTTGTTTGTTTTTCCTTTTTAAGGTTACCGTTGGTTCCTCACTCAAACAAAATCCAAAGCCTCCACTTTTTCCAACGCCCATTTCAAATTCAAACCACTTCCCCTTTTGCTTCCCAAAGCCTCTCCCCTTTCCCAAGGTTCACCCACTAACTCCTTCATCTGTCCCCACTGATCGCTCGAGACCGTGAAAATTTCTAGTACTACAAAAGTATCTACTTCAGTAGTCTGGAATTTGATACGATATATTATTTTACGAATAAAACTTCTCAATTGATTATGTACTACTAACAATAAAAGTTCTATCATCTTATTGTTAGCCTTTTAACTAATAGATATGAATTCAAAAATCTATTGTCTTTGATAAGAAAAGGGGATGGATTTGAACTGCATTTTGTAATTTGTGTTCATACGTACACTCCAACGAAATAAAACTATCATCATATCATGACGATATCTTCCAATAATAAAATTAAAGGTAGTGGTCGATAGCAGGTATTATCTTTATTTTATTTCATATACTTAGACATCGTTTTGAAATAGTACGAGGTGAGAATTCGAATCTACGAGTTTTTTTATTGCTAGAAAATGAGTACAAAATTCCCCGGATTTCAAATGGGCTCTCTCTCTCTTGGTCACATATATATTGTAGCTTGTGAATCCCACAGATAGAGACTAGACTCCACAGATTCCATCCCCATTTCCCATTTCTCCATTTCCTCTCGTCTTTTACTCTGTTTTTTCTTCTTCCGAACAAACGAAAAAAGGGATGTTAGGCGATAAGAAAACCACAATTCCTCGGCAATCTTCCTACAATTCCCTGTACTTGAATCCCCTCAACGACCTCCGCCACGCCCGCAGCTGCAGCGACGGCGGCGGATTCCGGCAAGGCAAAGAAAACTTGACCTCCAATACGAAGGATGAGAAAGAAAAGGCGATCCCCACCATTAATAATGGGAAGAAATTTGGGGATTTGAAGGCTTTGAAGGCTTCTTCGCTTCATGTGTGTATGCAGATGAACGAGGGAGACAAGGTTTTCGCCTCCAAATTGTGGGACGGCACCGATTCAGAGCACTCCAGTTCGTTGAAGATTTGGGACTTTTCCGATTCTGAAGCTGCTCCAGCTTCCTCTTGGTCCACTTTGCCTAACAGGTCCCTTTCATTCCTTTGTTCCATGTTTTTCTTTTTTACATTCATTTCAATTTCTAATAAAATTTTGTGGGAATGGAAAACACTTAGTTCGCAGTTAAGACTTTAGACAAGCCAATGGAGTAGCTCGTCTTATAAGAAGCAAAGTCAGAAATCGACATTCAAAAAATAGGCATATTGGGAAGGACGGGAGGGGGTTAGAAGCGACTCGTTCGTATTGGGAACCATGTCAAGGCGACATAAGTGGAAGTAGTATTTATAGACTTAATTTTCAAAAACAGAAAACAAGAAATGAAATGGAGCTAATTTTTTAGGTTGAGTGAAGTTTAATATATGTTCTGTGCTCAAATTTGTTAGATGTTATTTCCTTTGAAGGTAGTGTCAAGAATATGAGAAAAAACATTAAGTTTACTGTGTAAGCTTTTTCCTATGTTTAAAGAAGTTATTTCGTTTTTAGTTTTCTGTTTTTGAAAGTTAAGCTTGTTTGCCCACAATTTTCTTAGTATGCTTTTACGTTTCTTGAAAACACATTTGCATTATTTGCAAAGTCTCAAAAATAAAAACAAGCTTTTGGAAACTATCTTCTTTTCGTTTTTAAAATTTGACTTAGAGTTTGAAAACGCTACCTAACAATACGAAGAAATACATGGGTAAAAGTAGAGACTCTCCGAGAAAATTTAAGGATGTTATGTCAGAAGCGAATATTTAAGGTTTTTTTTCGTGGACTTTCAGGTCGTTGTTGTGTCGGCCATTGCCTGTGGATGTGGGGAGATGTAGCTGTGTCATTGTGAAGGAAAAATCGCCTGATGGCCTTCATGCTGGCGCTTTCTATTCTCTATACACCAATGTAAGTTTCTTATTTTCAAATTTATTTTTAACAAAATCCAAAACTTTGTTTATAAACAAAATCTTTAAATCTTTTTGGAGATCACAGATTTTGATTAAATTTTCTGTGAACTAAGTGTGTTTTATGGGAAATTTAGGCTTTTTTGTTAAACATCTTAGTAGAGGATTGCTTCTTGATCTTTAAGGTTGGTTTTCGACATTCAAAATTTTATTAGGAAGGGAAGGGACGGCAGGATCGGAAGCTGGCCGTGGCTCGCCATAGACGGCGGAGCGGGCGATCGGAGTATAAAATAGCTCAGAGTACAAGAGGGATACTCTGCAACGCAGATGATAGTTTTGTTGGATCCATGACTACAAACCTTGTTGGTTCAAAATACCATATTTGGGATCAGGTTCACTTTCCTTGCACATTCTTATGGAGTGTTGAAATTGTTTTGAAATTTGAAACAAGTTTGCTGAATTGCTATGCTATGATTATGACATGGTTTCTCTTCATGCTTGCTCTCAGGGGAACCGTCTTAAGTCAATCCCGGGCCAGTCGAAAACGCTTTTGGCTGCTGTAACGTAAGCCACCGCCCCTCCCCTCCCTCCGGCTATATCTCTCTCTTCTTTCTCTCGTTTTCTCTTTTGGAGTCATTCCTTTGGCTGCTGTTTTCTACAGATTCATGCCTACAACAGCTACATGGACTGGGAGTCATAGAAGCATGAAGGCTTTCATCCCCAAGCATCAATCAATGCAGCTGAAAAACACCAATCAGGTTCTTTAGAAAATTTTTATACCTGGAAATGTCAATAGAAACATCAATGAAACGTTAACGTTGATAGATAGTTTGAGTAAAAGTCGTGAAGATCACTTGAGCTCATTAATATTAGTATTCACATTAATATTGTCGATATTTCTATCGACATTTTGTCGAATATTTACGAACCACCCGTTTAACTTAGAGCTTGCGTTTTCTGGAGCAGGTGCAGCACATAGCAGGGCTGCCAAGGGAGTGGGAAGAAAAAAAGGACAAAGTCCATCAGCTTGTTTCTAAGGCTCCCCAATACAATAAGGTGAGTCAGATTTTGCATATTCAGAAGAATTCTTCAATGGAAACTTGAAATTTTTGGATTTCCTCACCCCGCAGTTTAATAACCCTTTCGTTTTTTATTTTTAAATTTTAAAATGAAACTTAGAAACATTATTTTCATCCATGCGTTCCTTTGTTTTGTTATTAGTTTTTGTGAACATTTTCAAAACTTGAGCCAATTTTGAAAGCAAAAAACAATTAGTTTTTAAAATTTTGTTTTGTCGGTGAAATTTGGCTAAGAATTCAAATATGTTTTCAAGAGGAGTGAAAAAACTAAAAACGAAATGGTTATGAATTGAAACCGTAGTGTTTCATTGTTTTTCTTTTTCTCTTTTAGATTTCCAAGCAATATGAGTTGGACTTCAAAGACAGAGGAAGGGCAGTTTCAGGTCTTATGATTAAGACCTCTGTGAAGAATTTTCAGTTAACTTTAGAGGTAAAATTCTACAATTTTATTTAATTGGTTTGGGGATCAATTAGGATTAAAAGAAAATGAATTTCAATTAGAAAGGGATGAGTTTTGAGTGGTTTGTTTGGCACAGGAAAATGGGAAGCAAACAATTCTCCAACTTGGAAGGATTGGGAAGTCCAAGTATGTGATGGATTACAGGTAAAGCATATCAATTCCATGTTGGTTTAAGAAGTTTGAAACAAATTTGGTTCGTGAATTTCATGGTTGTGTTAATTTCCTACAAGTTTTTCAATTTCAGTTTTGTGGCTTATAGGTCCATATTATGGACATAATTAGTTTAACATTTATATGACGGGTGCATAGAATAAATAGACACAACTTATAAATTTCAGGACCTATTAGAAATTTTCTTAAGTAGAGGATTACTAGACACAATCCAAAAAGTTAAAGAAACCAAACTTGTAATTTAACCTTATTAATCTTCGAAGAAATCAAACCAAACACAACTAAACACAACTCGACTAAAAAACATATCAAAATCAACTGGAATTCCTACATCGACCAAAACCAAACCAACCCGAGTACATTTTGGTTCTGTTTTTCAGTTTGCACCCTATTGGCTACTGTTTTCCACTATGAATTTCT